TTCAATTTTTATTGAGGCTCTGCTATTGTTGTTGTTGTTGGCCTCAACAGCACTTTGTGGGTGCTTAAAACAGCTGACAGGCCCCGCTGACAGATTGATGAATGTTGCCTTTGCCTTTGCTTTTGCTTTTGCTTTTGCTTTTTGGCTGGCCCTGTTGTTTCAGCCCTCTTGCATTCAGCATATATATTTGTAGATGTTTTCTTTTTATTTTAACGGCATTTTCACTTTCGATTTTAATGAAAATATTTTGAAAATGCGCTATTTTCATTTGTGCGACGGCCTCTGGGCCAAGATTTATGGCACCAGCACCCGCAGATATAGACTCGTTGGTGGGATAGAAGAGAGAGGGGATGGGGAGGGGGGCCTGAGAGAAGTGAATGTTGGCCCGGTTCGATCGGGAGGTTAATTTGTTGGCAGCTAATGCCTGGCGAACGGCCCAGATGCGTTAAATCGTTGACAATTGGGATCAATTTTGGATGGGACTAAAAGATCTTGTGCTGCTGCTTCTTCTCACACATTTTCGGGGCATCCAATTAGCCACTTTCGTCATATGTCAAGGGCTTTGCTTCATGTGCAACTCAAGAGCATTAGGCAATACATGAGCGGGGGCGGCGCCTGAGAAGGTCAAGCTCATCTGGGAAACATGTTGAGTTAAGTGGAGTATTAAGCGAAACTTAACTGAGATTCGACCCTGAAAAGCTGAAGGGAGCTTAGCAAGATCTCAAGAAAGAAGAGGGTACAACACATTATTTGTTTTGGAAAGCGTATAAAAATGATGAGCATAAAATATTGAAAAAAACTAAGAGATTTTTTTAAGAGTTTGCTTAATAAATTTTAATAAATAATTGATTCTGAATATCCTACTAACCAAATTGTAAATGTTATTCTTATCTCTTTTGTAATTTATCCGCATCTTTAATAAATTAAGAAGCTAATTTATCTATAGATAAACTCTCCTGTTTCCACCTTGTTTTTTGTGTTAGTTATTTATTTTATAATTTTATAAAACCTATAGAAATAATGAGCACAAAAGTATTGAAGACTGGAATAGACAAATTAAGAAAAATAATTGATTATGTTTATTTTACTATTATTGTCCAATTTGTAAATGTTAATTCGCATCTCTTTTGTATTTTATTCTTATCTCAAATAAATAAATAAACTAGTTTATCCATAACAAAGTTATCTCTTTCTGTCTTCTTCGACACCTTTTTTTGTGTTAATCTAATTGAAATCTGTGCTGGGCTTCTTTTACCTAATAGAGATCCAAAGATTCCTGGGTTGGCAATTAAAATGCAAATCAGATCAAACTTTTAATGGCTAAGCTATTGTTTTCTTCTTCTTCTTTTTTGCCTTTTTTTATGTCCGAACATTGCTTTTGATCCAATGGCAATGGGAGATAAAAAATCAGAGAAGGGTTTAAAATTTCTTGGCAAAATGCGTTGGAAAAAATGTGTAAATAATCGAGAAAAACTTGTGGAAAACCCACGCACAGCAACAACACAAGCGAAAAACAAAACACAAATACACAACTGTGGAAAATCTCGCGCGGAAAAATTGGACGCATTTGCTGACCCAAAAAGACAAATGACCGAAAAACAAAACAAAACAGCAAATAAAAAAAAAAAAAATAGAGAAACAAAAGGGACAACGCTCGCATTGGGGTTACCAGGAGCGGGACGGGGCGGAGCGGGGTGAACAGCAGGCCTGTGTTTATTTTAATGCAAATATTTGTATATTTTTGAATGGCAACGCGACGGCATACTTTTTTTTTGGTTTTTTTTTTGTTTTTTTAATTTTTGGGTACTCGCAAGTAATGTTAATTTCTAGGAAACTCTTTTTATAGCCGAGCCAATGTTTGTATTTGTTTGCACCCACATATTGCAGAGTATACCCAGATTTAATGCAAAAAAAAAAAAAAAAGGAAAGGGTGTATATTTAATTTAGGTCTTTGCGTATTTGTTTTATGCTAATCTACAGATTTACAGGTGGACACACTTACTTGGAAATCCTTTATTTTGCTTTTTGGGTGGGGGCAACACTGCTTTTCGGCTTTTCGGCTTTTCGGCTATTCTCGTTCTTTCTCTTTCTTACGCTGTTTGGCTTTTTGCTTTGATTGGGCCGCAGCAGATCGCAGATAAATGAGCGATTTAAATGCTAATTAATTGTTTGGCACACACGCACAGCACACATGCACACGCGCACGCACGCAAGCACGCACGTGTGGGAGGGAGAGACAGAGAGAGAGAGAGAGAGAGATAATGGCGACACGATTAGACGTGAACGATTTTGTCCCGTTTTTAATCTCGGTTCAATTTATCAGGCAATACGCTTCACTCGCTTACGCGTTCTTCTTCGTTTTTCTTTTGTTGCGTTTTTCCGATCGGCAGCATCTTTGTTGAATATTTTCGAAATTCAAATTAAACCGTCAAACGGTCGCACACACAGTTACACACACAACCGGCCACACTGGGCACACAGCATCACGATGGCACACGGGCCCGAACGAGCAGCTGCAGAGCCGAAACTGTAAATTTTTGGGTGGCGCTCAGAGCAGAAGCGGCGACTGGTACTGATAATACAGAGCGTTGCAGCGTCCGTGACTGGCGGTCCGTTACAATGCACGCGTTGTAAAAGACTGTTTCAGACTGAATCATACACGTATAAGCACAGGGCAGAGCAGCATATGCAGCATACAACAGGCCGCACGAGCACTGTTCGGGCGCACGAAGCGCGAGAGCGATTGGACGAAGCGCGAACACGAGCGTAGCTTCGGGCAGTTGCAGCGCACGTTTATGCTGCAGACAACAACAACAGTCCAAGTTGCCGAACCGAATGACGGGGCCAACGAAAACTGCCGCACACGAGCGTGCTGGCGCCATCTAGCGGCTAAACGTGCGCACTGCTGTCTTATACGCTGTTATTTTTCACTTAACAGCACTGTTAGCCAACAGCAGCATGTTCCATGACCGGCAATGCAACTCACGCATGTTCGATAAGGGGCAGCTCCAACAGGCGCTGTTAAATACTTTGACTAGGTCGATGTAATTAATTTTCGCTCCCGAAGCAGCCGCAACCGCAGTAACAGTAGCTTGTTGCACACACACACACACACACACACACACACCTACATCTAATGTGGCCATGTCAATGAAATTGAAGGATGTGTGCTAATATAATTGGAGCTGGACTAAGTTTGGGGGGTTTATTTGGGTCTAATTCGTTTGTTCAACAAAATTCCATTCCCCAGCAGAAGCATATCTAATCAGGACTAATAGAACAAGTTATGCTTGCAGAGAGAAGGAAAGACCCGGAAAAACTAAAACATAAAATATATACTAGTTTTTTCTCTATGCCTCTTGAAGAGCTGCTAAATCTTAAATGAGCCGTAAAAAAATTCTGAATTTTCTCAAGTAATATATGCATAATAAAATCCGTTCATTTTTTATTATATTGACACCTATATCCAAACAATCAGATAAACTCTTTCCTAATCCACGGCTACAATTAACACTCAACGGGAGATGGCATCAATCTGTGGTTTTTGCAGATACTCTCTCTCTCTCTCTTTCTCTCTCTCTCTTTCGCACCGTTTCTTTCAAACGCATGTTGTGATTGGAGGCACGCCCGTAAAACAATTTGCCAGCCTCATAAAAACCCAGGCATAACAAATATAACACTTAATTGTATTAACAGACAGCGGACAGAGCCCAAACCCAGGTCAGGAGCTACCGAATCGAAGCAGCAGAAGGGACGCCGACAACGGGTGTTTGCTTTAACAGTTAGGCCAGGCGGACAGACGGACGGACGGACGGACGGACGGGTGGACGGACAAACAAATAGCCCAAGACAATGCCCACGCAGATAACAATAACCCCGCCCCGCAGGCCCAAAGAGCGTATCGCCTCGAACTCAGACTCAGACTCGAACACGGACCACGACTCGAACTCGGACTCGGACTCAAAGTCGAAGTCGAGGTCGCATTGATTGATGATTTTATGACATTGTTTACTCTTGTGATGATGAGCAGAGCCAGCGACTCGTCCAGCAGAGATAAAAGGCAAGAGCCTGGAGGACGTTTGGAATGCGTGTGTCCTTCTGCCTGCTGCGCGGTGTCGGGTGCCGTTTGCTGGGATTGCAGGCAGATCTTTAGCTTGTTTTTCTCTGGAATGCTATCAATCTTTTGCTTATTAGGGATAATATTACAATTACTTGTAAGTGAGATAAGCCAAAAGACAACAGGAATAACAACAAAGCAGCAGAAGAGGTCGAGCAGCGGAAAGGATAAGTGCTCAAGTGGGCACGCCTTCGCTTTGACGCGCTGCTGCTTTGATGTGTGCACCGAGTACTCTGCATACACTTAGAGAAACAAGCGAGTGCGTCAGGTTGTAACCACATTTGTCTGCCTGAGAAGTGGATGAAATACTCAAGTTTCACTATGCTCTTTTTCGCCCAGTGCATCGGCGCTTTGTGTGCTGTAAACAGAAACTCGACTCAGTTACATTTGGCCGAGTCGCAGCTGAGCGTGTCACGCGGATGCCCGCGGATTGATTGACAAATTGACAGGCCGTCGAGATTTGGGTGCGTGGCGCACCATTCGCTGGAAGCGCCGCGCCTCGAAGAGACTCGCAACGGGAAAAACACTTCCTGCCCGACAACCTGTTTCAATTTAGTCATAAACTATTAACGCTACCTTGGGCCAGCAGACGGCAGCCCGCAGCTGAACGAGCCACACAGTTAACCGCCAGGAAGCCAGCTGTTCCTTGGCCTAAAGGTCTCTCCGTTTCCCCGCCCCGTCTCCACTCTTCCAATGTCCTTCTGTCCGTGTCCTTTGCTGCTGCTGTTTGATGATAAATTAGAGCTCGCCAATGCACTAAAAAACTTCAAACACGGAAAAGCAGCAACGACATGAGCAGAGCACCACACACACACACACACACACAACACACACACACACACAACACACAAGCGAACATACAGGTAGTATTTGTGGCATTTACCTTTCTCCTTTTTTTATTGCTTTATTATGAGCTCGACTGGGCTCTTTGGGCTCTCCGGGCCGTTTTCTATGCTGGCCAAAAGGCTGACCGAAAGTCCTGACACGCCCATTGTCAGCAATTCTTTTTATTTCTCTCATCTGGTTTATTGCTGTTTGTTATTTTCCTTCCAATTGTGCGGCACGCTTCATCCTCCTCGCCATGGCTAGCTCAATTTCGAAGCATCTGCACAATTCGTTTGTTCTGCAATTAGTTTGTTAATATTTCTATTAGTATATTCGTAGAATTCATGATATCTATATTTATTAATTTTAACTGTATTTAACAATATTATTGTAATTTTTATCAATTGCTTATATTTTTTATTATAAATAACAAAATAATAATAATATATTATTTAAAAAGTCAGAAATTCGCTTGGAAAGTTTCTCAGTTTTTTAACATTAATTTATAGCTATATAACTATGTCTGTATTTATTAAGTTATGTATTAATTTAACTATAGTATTGTAATTTATTTAAATATTGCAATCTCTCTACCCTCGCCCGCCTTCAGATATTTCTCAGAAACGTGGAAGCTCTTGGTTCTTTGTCGGTACCTCGAGATGTTTGTTCCTGATAAATGTGTGTGATATGGTCCGGCTACCGGGTGCTCGTAGCGCTGCAATTTCCCATAAACGGGCGTTACAAAATCAATTTGCATGCTTGCGAGGCTTTTGGCAAACCCAAGTCACGGCCCAAAGCTTCGCATGCGGCCAAGCGAAACTGGGACCAGCTGCACGGGGCGGCGAAGGGGGTAGTTGGGAGGGGGCAGCGGCCAGCCGATAAGCGCAAATTAGTGGCAAATTAAGCCATCAATTGCTGCAGCTGTTTATATTTTGGGGCACAGTCCGGATCCCCCGTTCGCCTTACCCCCATCTCCGAGCAAAACCACAACCGCATTTGACAGACGTGCACTCAACACTTTCGCCAGCTGACAGTTACACTAATAACGACCAGCCAGCCCCCGCTACTGCTCCCCTTCTTGCCACATGCCAAGGGCCTAAACAAACAGGGTCGGAGTCCTGCCGTAGTCCTGCCCGAGTCCTGCCCGGCATACGCTTATCAGTTTTCAATCACATTTGAAACACATTGGTATTTGTGTGCCCATAAATCAACAGGGGAACCTTAATCCTCCGGATCGTGTTCGGCTACGGTTGCAGCGTCAAGGAGACGCACACACTCATACACTCACACACACACACACACTCGCACACACCAATCGCAAAGTCACCTTCAAATAGATAAACATTGACAGCTTGACATATGTAGAATTCGCCTGGCATTCTCTAGAGCGGGGGGGGCTGTGCACCTTTTGCTGGGGGCGGGGCTGGGGCGAGGGGAAACGTGTTTTAATTTTTATTTTGCGGCTGCTGCGTTGAGTGATAAGCGCGAGCTTTGACTGCGCATTGATAAAGGACTAAAACAAATGGCAGCCAGTCTTCCCTTCCTGCGATATTTATTCCTCGCCTTCTATTTATCCAATTTGGGAAACGAGGCACGTTTCTGCCTTGGCTATAAAAACAATTAGGGTTCAAGGCCCAACAGCTAAACGATATATGTTTCCACACAGTTAAGCCTCTTAAAGCCACAAAATCGAGTTACAAAAATAAGTGTATATAGTTCATATATTGATATGGCATTAAAATTCAAGCTCTGCTAGCTTATGTTACCGAAATTGCGATTTCAAAATTGGCTACAAATTCTGGCATATAGAAAACAACACGAAAAAGAATGTGACAAAAATCCCACATCAAATCAAGAGCAATATTTTAAAAACCAAGCCAAACAAATAATACGGATGTTGTAAAATTAAAATGCAAAGTTTATCGTGCATAAATTATTGCACAAAAACTGAAATGAAAAAATGCCAAATACTCAAAAGTCGGGAGTGAGCGACTAGCGCATACCCTGAAACATCCTACTTGATGTGTAGAATCTGTAAAAGCTTCATTCCAAATTTGGTGGCTGTCAGACCTAAGAGATTTTCTCCCAAAACAGGATTTCGATATTGATTCTTAGTGAGATTTAGATTTATCGATTATCGGAAAAAAAACTCGTACAACACTGGCACACAGGAAGTCCTCCTAGGTAGGTGCACATTCAAAATTTCAAGTTCCTATATGGTATAGGTACCTAATGGGGTCGAATATGCTTTCCTCTTCCTGTTACATGCACTTTCTCAATCACATTATACCCTATTTGCCCATTTCCAATGGGCTCTGCTTATAAAAAAAGGTTAATAATAATATTTTTTCCCAAATTTACAAAAACTGTATTATTATTTTTATTGGCGATAAATACATTATCCGATACCTCATTTTATACCATCAAAATTCATACTTTGCAATTTACAGTTCACAGTTTATAATGGAAATAAGACACACAGGTATTCGACCACCCAAAATTAACAGTGTTGTAAAGTTGCACGCTCATTCGTCAACACTTTTTTTGACTGCTTTTCCATTTGAACTGAATACTCAACTAGAAACCACATCTTAAAATATTTCGATACACCTTTTTTTTGATTAACCCTTTCGATTTAATGGGAGAGCTACGATAAGACTCTTTTTACTACCTTTGAGTACAAGCAAAAGTCCGTAAAAAACGACAACAATAAAATCCTATAAGTATATAAGTTTCCATTTCCTTTGCCCTGCTCCCATCTATTTGTCTCCGATAAGGAAATTCTTATCCGGATGTTGATGGGAAACCATTTTTGGCGTAGTTATAGAGACCAGAATAAACAATTAATGCGTATGCAAAAAACAAACAACAATAACAACAAGTACGGGCAAAGGTTTCCAATTAGCAGAAAGGTGAACGAAAGGAGGCAATGGGCCGGGGGGCGGGGGGCGGGGTGCGTGGCTGTTGTTGTGGCAACGCGTCACAGCCTCCGAAATTAAGTGGAAATGAAGTGCGCACTTGAATTTCAATTCAAATACCTACTTCAAACCAACCTCGGCCCCTCTCTTTAGCCGCATTCAAGCCAAAAATAGCTATAAATAAAAACAAATTGTTTTTGTTTTATTTTCTGCCCACTTTCTGCGGTTGTTTACGGCCCAGGTAGGTCGGTCTGGGCTCTGAAAGGGTTTTGTGTGCAGCACAAATTTGTTGACTAATGATTATTTAACTGAATTACCATTAAGTGGCACGCCCCGCCGCCGCCCCCTACGGCCGAGTAATTGTATAATTGTTGCCGCCTGTTTGCCCTTTGTTGTTGTCCTTTGCATTGCCATCATTTCTTGTGCTTATTAATATTAATAAAGTTGATTAAAAGGCTTATGCAAAGCTAAGTACACACACACACACACACACACACACACACACACACACACACACACACACACACACACACACACACACACACACACACACACACACACACACACACACACACACACACAGACACAAGCTCGTTGACATTCGCCTGTGTTTTTTGTGTACTTTGCTTAAGTGTTTGCGTACTTAGCCTCAAGTGGCTTGCGAATATTTCTGAGATTTGCCGAAGCTATTTTGATGCCAAGCTTTTTATTTGAGCTATTACGTGGATTATTTTATTGTTGTATTATTCTTGAGCCCAGCTTTTATGGCGTTAAATGCGACTAAGTGCAAACAAATCAAGCATTTTAACAGAAACCTAATTGCTCGGGCATAAGCTCCCAAAGTGCTCACTATTTGTATATGGATTTTAATTTTAATTATATTCAAATACAATTTGCTTAAATGCTAAATAAATACGTTGCTTAAAGCAGAGAGAAGAGAGTTGTCTTTCTGATAATCTAATCTGTGTTGTATTGCCTAAAACAAACTTAGCAAACATTTCTAAGAGTCATTCGGAGTCCACTTTTTACCCTTAATCATTGTGAGTTGTATTGCACGTTTACTTATGGAGGCTCACTTTTGCTTTCCCTCAAGGACGCACGTGTCCTCAGACTAGCCCAAACCGCAGACACGCCCACACACCCCGCACAGTGACACGCGACACGCGACAACAACAGGAACTCGAACGAATACCCGGGCAGAACGAGACATGACTCAGCAGACACGTGTGTCTGTTCGGGTTCAACAAACGCTGACCATAAACTATAACAAAGCATTCGAATAAATGCTTTCAGAATTGAAGTTTATATCCAGAGCCGGACCAGAACCTGGTACTCGTAACATGCCTGCGACTGTGACTGTGCGGGGTTCGTGTCCGGCTTGCACGACATGCAATTCGACAGATATAGAGAACTCTCCCTGCAGCGAAAGTGAAATACGAAAAGCGAGAAAAACCCAGGATATAATGCTGAACTTCGCCAGGCCGAGGATTAAATACCCTTGCAGTGCCCTTGGTCGGGCAGGCAGGCCCTTCAGATTTTGAGGAGAAAGTTGAAGCTCTGAATTTTTGAACTTTTTCACAGATAAAAAGTAAATTATTTTTGCATATCAAAAATTACTATCGCAAGCGATAAACATGCCTAAGGACTTGGCCGATCCGACTCGACTATTTAATATTATAAGGTCCTCCTTCATGACAAAATTACACTACCCTACACAAAGGGTACAATAACATCGCAAATAACTCATATTTAAAAAGCGTTTCTATAAAAAAAAACCCTATTAATTTGTGAACTGCAGTTAAGGAGCTGGTCGAGCAGATGGTGGGCAGCAGGGTCAGGGGCAGAGGCAGTCGACACATGACGTGCCGACAGAGAGGGGGAGGGGAAGGGAGCTGATTCTTAATTAATTTGGACACGCAAAAAAGCTGCAAACGCCGTTAACGAGTACTCATAAATACTCATAATGATTCATTGCAATGAAATGCATCAAATATATTTGACTTCCTTTGACTTTTAGCCAGCCGAGTTGCAAGTTCTATGACGCATGCAACTATGTTGCAAGCAAATGTAAACAGACTAAGGGCCTTTCGATTTCCGCTTACCTTGCCTCAAAGCGCGATTCAAAAGCCTTTGTTGTCGCATTTGGCACGCGCCATCAGGTGCACACATCGGATCAGGGAATGGAACTGTGGCAAGGGGCAGGCACTGGGCCTTGAGTTGGAGCTGGAGCTGAGTCTCTGTGTCTGCATCTGCTGCTGTAGCTGCTGTTGTTGTTATGGTTGATTGCTTTTATTGTTGTTGTCGTCGCGTTTAAACACGAACGCCTTCGCCAGAGCGTGCCCGGCCAAAGATGCCGACAGAGCCGCGGCCCAGGTAGACG